CCAATCGACTATCTGAATAATTATTGTATGAATCTGAGCTGTTAATGTCGACAAAGTAACAATGGAAAATCCTTAGAAACTTGTCTATGCAGTAGTAGGTATTCATGATATAACAAAAATATGAATTCCACCAACTCTTCGATTTACAGAAGTATGACTTTATAAAATAATCAAAACGTTAAAGTTGCTTTGAACTGTCAACAATATTTTCGTGCCATTGGCTCAATTTTATGTATTAAGTTATACTACTTATTGTTATTATTCAGTAGTTTATGTACCGTCATTAAGTTTTGTAAGTTTTCATGTCAAATGTTTATAGCCTGTAGTGAACTATTGATCATAAATCATTGCATTTTTATTCAGTTTTTGATTCTAGCCCCTTGCGCGAGATGGCGTTTCTCTTCCCTTCCTAATAACTAGATTGTGGTTTTCTTGAAACTCCAGTGAGCATCTCAATTCATTGAATGAAATTCAGACTCAACCAGTTGTCCTACTAAGAAGGAATAAGTAGACATAATGAGAAATATAGAGAAGCATACACCATTGTCTGTAGTGGTTTGAACTATGCCTTTACATATATTCAGGAACGAATTGTGATCACTATCTGTTAAGATACGTGCATTCTGTGCGGATTGCCTCGAAATAACCATTATTTCACAAGTTTTTTGGAATAGATGGATAGTGAATAACAGAGAAATTCAAAATACTTCTTTCGAACACTGGGACTCGTAAGTTTCATGGGATAAAATCGTAACAATAAAAACATAATATGTATCAAAATAGTCAGCGGCTATCTGGACTCAACAACAGAGTGGATAACTTGTTAAGTAATTCATGAGGATTTGCAGTGCAAACATCAAAACCGGAATGCAGATGCATCAGACTGATGAGTTATAATTAAACAAACATTTGTTCTGGGTTTCACTCTGGGCAACAGTCCACTACTTCTGATTGAAAGATAACAAATATTGGATGACATATATGTAAGAATAGATATGGTCACCTGATATGATTGCTTTTATCTAAATGTGGTCAACAATTTAAATGATAACCATGTTTATTCCAAATAGCTGGTTTCATCATTAAAACCATTTTAAGTGTTAGGTTACACAATAGTCATTCTAAAACCTTTACAAAGGTAACGTTCTCACAATTCTGCTATTTAATTACATACATCCAAATCCGAATTTCTGGGACTGTTTGGTTGGAGAACTTGGACCTGCCGAAACACTTGCTCATCACGATACCTTGAGAAAATTTCTATGATTCGGACATTTTATTTTACCCTAAAGGTACAGGAACGACTACAATTACTCAAACGTATTTCTATATTTAAGCCACCTTTAGTACTGTAGCGCAATATACGTTCGTCACCATTGAAATATATCGATGGTCCGTCAGTAATATCTGATTGCAGTGATTATTGATGGTGAGTTATCGCTATAGCCTACTGAAGACTTTACCAGGTGCAGTATACTATTTGGTTTCATCTTTGGTGCTTCCGCATAGCTCATCATTGTTGCTACGCTGAATATCGGCATTTTATAACTGTTATAATAATAGTCATCAATTTAGCATGGGTGCTGTCATTAAATGATTAGCAAAAACTTTCAAGTCCAATGTACTAGATAAGTATATAACCGTAAAGAAAACGTAAAAAGTATATTGACCACCATCATTTGATATTTATTGTAAAATGGTCCGGTTCCAAGTTCGGATAAAGGAGGAGGGTTGGGCATGAGATCAGCCACCCAATCCCGTAGAAAACTAACTCGCTAGAAAAACTAACCAGTAAAATGGCTAAATAAACTTAAATTTATTCTCCTAGTATTTTCGCATTTGAGACGTTTTTAGGATGAGGAAGAATATGAAAATGCAACAGTGTGAACGAAAGGAGCATATGTTCTCCGGCACCATAAAAGGGCTTGTTACAATGTGCTATATGATTGTATTTCCTGACTCCCTTCATTGCCTCTTTGAGAATTGAGATGTATCAATTAAAAAGGTTAAAGTTGATAAAGTGAATTCACGAAAGATCACATTTTCATACAGTTGTGTTTCAACAGTTGATCTCGTTTCATTTAAAAATCATGTAGTCTTTGTTGATCTTCCTTCCTCTTCTTTATTACCTGGTCAGCTACTTAATATTACAGAGTAGTATAATTATTTCAAGTTAATAATGCTAACAATAGTTGAATGTACAAAATTACACACTGGTACTTAGTAAACTTTGTAGTGACTAGAATTCTGAGTAGAACAGAAAATGACTTTAAGTTAACTGATCAATACACTTTTGGAAACTCATGAATTTATTAGTGGATAGTAGTGATCTTACTACATTGAATTACATGCGGTCAAATAAAACATCGTCTTACCGAAATATAATCGATGTAGAGAACATATATCATTTTAACATTAAAAGAAAATTTTCTTCCTTTGCTTTCGGTCTCAATTCATAGTGGAAGTGAACCTGTCAGTAACTACATAATATCCGGAAATGTAAACGTTCGTTGAAAATAATTTGTTTCTAAAGTTTCTTATCATTTTCGATTATTATTTGTCATGAATATGTCTATAAGTTTCTTCAGGAGTTTGTGTTCTGTTTGTGAAGTAAACTGCATTTTTGTTGGGATATTCAGGAAAATATCCCAGGAATTATTCTATTAAGTCTAATGCTATTCTTGGACTTGTAGATGGTATTATTTACTTATTGGTCAGTACTTGTTTCACGTGTCATTTTCCTAATGGTCAATATTGTACAATGTTATTTTCTATTTTATGGTACGTTGTGGTCTGCTTGACTCGTATATAAACAAAGTATGTTTGAAATATAATGATTCATATATCCGAGGCTGTGACTTGCGTTCTGGACTCAACTGCTGGGCTAGATAGGGAGGCGTGGCCAATCAGAACCCTAGGTCGTTCTACGTGTTTGCGCGTCTTTGGTCCGATCGATAATTCGCTCCCCTCTAATCTGCTGCCGTCACGGTTATAGCAATTTTATCCATAAAATGATAAAACATTAGTCAGATATATATATGTAACTAATCATAAGTGAGTAATAATTGTGATGAATTCAATCAATTTTAAAAGAACAATATGGCTTAACATATTTGCCAATAATAAGTAAGTACCATCGATACTTCGGATATATCAGTCATGATTTTTATGATAATATTATAAAAGTGGCATACGGGCAGTTTCTTCGAACCGAATAACGTTTATATACGTTAGTGGTTAGTGGACACATTCTGAATGTCACGATTCGTTTTTTTTATTAGAACAAGCAGTGTTTCCTTTCTAATATGGTATAAATCAATATTGAACTTCATCATGATCAAAAGGGGTACACAAATTTTTTAAATAATTAGGTTTTTGGATTATTCAAATTTACCGTATGGTAACAGTCACATGATTGAACGATGTGTTATACAAGAAGTTTGTCAGATTATCGTTTAGTTATTTTCTGAATCTTCTGTGAATTGTGATTCCGAAAACAGTGGTTACTACCTACTTATAAGATGAATAAATCTCTGTTTCATTAGTTCTGAAAACAATTTATTATATGCACATTGAAGAGTTAATTTAGAGTTCGGTTTCACATAACTACTTAATTGCCTAAACCTTGTGAAATTGTATTCACTGTCAATTTCTACCCCGTAGATCTTTTTCCTGATTTAAGTTCTTCATAAATTCACTTATAAGCAGATTGTCTCTTGATTATCGAATTTCCGGTAATAGTAGCATATCATTGTCTCAATACATTTACTTTGAAAACAACGCTGAGATTGCTAATGCATCTTCAAAGCCTGAATGTGTACATAAAGCATAGCTAACATTTTCCACAGCTTATTATTTTCCATCATTTAAAATGACTACACAGCTTATAGTGCTGTTGTGACTCTCATCTGCTTCTATAAATGGTAAACTCTGTCATCGTTTCCATGTCAATTTCTTAACCACCTGGAGTTAATGTAAACAGCCTTTTGTCATATCGTTTAAGTTACAACTGATAAATAAATTTGCTACGTATATAAATTATAAGTCAATTATTCAAGTATCCTTTTAACTGAGACCGAATACTGTATCATAGTTGAGGGTCCCCTAATAACTGTGCTGTATCTTGTTAACGAAACAAGGAAGTTAATTCATGTTTTTAAGAACAACACGTTTCTTGTAAGTCTGACTTCTTTCATGTACCAATTACCAGCTGGACAACCGCATCTGGTAATAATGAGATAATGTAATTAAAGATGTCGCGAATGACTTCCAACCAAACAGGATATTTATATTAATCCACTCAGGAACGTCAGATGACTTCCTCCAGCGTATAATGGTAACAAAACTTTTAGAATAAAATTCACCAAATTCCCTTTTACTTTAAAGAAGAAGAGTTTGAGAAACAATTGACCATAGGTATATAACAATTCTGAAAAGAAACCTCCACCATCATATTGACACCACTACTAGATTTTATGTGTAAATTCTTTGTATCATGCTTCAGAAATAAATAAGAATAATGAAAAAATGGAGTCGACAGCACTTAATCAACAGTAGTCACGAAGCAGGGAACTCTAAGTCCCCCAAGATAAATGATAAAGAACGAATGAAGAATTTCTGTATCTAAATTAATCCCGTGTATACGTAGGACAGTAATGTGAATCTCTTCTTTCTCTGATAACTATTGTTGTCATAAAACAGTTTTATTCATTGTGAGATCTCAGTTTTTGATGATTTGAGCACTGAGACGATTGCTAGTTTCTATTTAGATTCCGAATACTACTTTCACCACAGGCGATAACTGGACAAAATTGTCCAAATCTATATCTGCAATATCTAATTTGTTTACAAAATACCACTAATTATCTTTGAAGTTTTCTTCAATGCATCTGATGTTGTAATGCGGAACAATAGAAGGTTTTACAAAATGTCCAGATAAATATAAATTCTCAGGCAAAGTCATGTAAATTCAGATTTATCAACTTACAAAAAATCAAGTATCTTTGCAAACAATCTTGTATTTGTTCTGTTTAACAAATTAAAATGTAAATATTTTTACAGAGTACGTATTTATAAAGTGGTCTCATTTTGTTGGGTTTCTGTAGTATTCACAATATCTGTAGTAGTATTACTATGTTTTTCTTGACAGTGAAAAAACCAACATCTTCCACTACAACAGTCCGAGCTCCGAATACACAATTTATTTGTAGCAAGACATTGAACACATACTCCATTGAAGAACCCATGACAAACTAAGCTGTCACAACAGTGACGAAAGAAAATCCGACTGCAAGAATCATTAAGGTGTGCACAGTTCTTTTGTACAGCTGGTACTAGTATTCAAACAAAAAATATTTAAAACAATGTAATTCTGAACAAAAATACCAACATATATTGTAGTGTAGGTTACTATGTTAAACCTACATAACCTATTCTAGCTTCTCGAGAAGCCAATTCTTGAGCCACATTTTAACCTTGTTACTTATTCACTTATCAACGTTGACTACTTCTATATGAGCGTATGTGTGTACACTTCTTATCTTATTCATCACATGTCTGTAGCTTATTTTTGTGTGACTATAAATATTGATTAAAGAATGAATTAATTGAGTTGGCTCACTCGCCTTCTCCACTGCGCGTCATTTAGCTTCATTCTCTTCTCGTCATTTCTTTCGCTTCATCCCTCTGATTGTCTGTACAGACGAAAGATTGTACAAAATATACATATTCGAAATCCATTCTCGTATTCGGCTTATTTAATTCCTCTTTATTCACTAACGCTAATTAATTCGATAACTATATACAAGGATTGACGACATGTATATTTTAATAACATTCATACGATATAAGTAGAGTCAGATATAGGGCCACAAAAGTGGTGAGCTCGTCGACAACATCATCCGATCTAATTGACATCAAAGTGAAGGGCCCCACATATTGTTGCACAAACTACATTTCGCAGTTATTGTTCATTATTGTTGACATTTTAAAATAAAACTTAACACATCTCAGAATCTACTGATTAGTAAAGGATTCGTTTAGTAACATGTAAATGAAACATGATGAACTTAATAAACTAACTGGAAACTGCATGTTGTTATGTAATATATTTCATGCTCATTTAGTTTAAATAAGAACTTTCGTCTAAATTTGAACAAATAATTTCACAATATTTGGTCGCCGAGTTAATGTGAAACATTAAAGAAGAAGAGCTGTATTTGTAAAATCTCAGCGAATGGATTTGAAGTAAATTCAACGTTTCGTTCAAGCTTTTTCAAGGAAAATCTAATCAAACAACAAAATTATCGAATAACTTCGATTTACTTCAATCTCTTACGCTGAGATTTTACAAATCCAGTTCTTCCTCTTTAATGTCTCATTTAGTTTAATTACAAATACTCAATTTTCAATATTACTATGGTGTGTGCTACTTATGTCGATTGTTCCTCACTGGTGTTCTTGTTCACTACAGTACCACTGTTGAGCTGATGAAAAGTATACCTAAATATATCATATTGATAGATAGTTGAATAATGATTACTCTAGTAAATTTCTTTACATGTAGTTATATATAAATAATACAAATATATCTATTTAGATATAATATTGAACATACCACTTTCATTGGATATAACTAAGGTAAAGTTTATGCTTATAAGCCATAGAATAATATATTGAATATATCTATTCATTACAATATATATTGTAGTATAGATTAATTAACATTTGATAATAAAATCTTAATTTATATATACATGTTTAATAGAGTAAGACATGTCTTCATAGCAATGGTTAAATTATATGAATATAATCATGTTTTGGCATGATTTCAAAACAATGATCATCAATGATAAACTTGTAATAAGTTGAAAGAAAATCTAACATGAACTTGATAAAGTGAGTGTGCTAGTACTGGATTAGATTGGCTGATGATTTAAGACGAACTGTGTGCTAACAAATGTTATCCTAAAAGCAAATAGAAATTAAGTGATATATATATAATAACAATTGGATTAGTTTGTATTAAAATAGTAGCTAAATTGGCTCTGTCACCTTGCCTTAAAGAAGAAACATTTTATGCTTTAGGACAAATGTGTACTACTTACATAAGTGACGAAACGTTGGAACATTTAATTTTTCTACTCATTTGGGTATAACAGATATATTATTTTATTTTATTTAAATGTGTTATTTCGTTGTATTCCATATTTGTCATCAATCATTATTTAAACATGGCTAAAACATTCAGTATGATCCTCTGTTCCAACTGTATGACGTACTAACGTATGTTGTTCTGATGTTTTAAGTGTCTTTTAATGAAGCTCTTTATGTTTTTATTACACACCATGGAAGAATATCGTTATGCTTATGACTACTTCATTTCAATAGAAAGCTAATATTCTAACTGTAATTATTCTTTTAATTTAATATTTCAATTATGAGTTTTAAAATGGGTCATCTATTTTCATTTCTATCAAGATACATTTGAATGTTTATTCGATTTTAACTATGTACAACACTAACGATGTAGTGGACGAGAACACAAGTGTATTTGAACACAAAAATTACAGCATCTTAAAACTAAACAGTAAATACTTCATTTGCAAAATATCGGTCAATAGTCTTAAACTTCATTGTTCATTCGCTTCCACACTAATCATTATCTATTCTCGTTCTCTTTTCTTCGATCTTCTTAACGTTCTACCACCAAGTATTTCACTTTTGGTTGAAGATACATACTACTCATATCTGTCGACATCAGTAGCACACACTACAATGATTATTTAAAGAATGTTAATATGTAAAACCGACTGTATTGTCTTTTTTTACATAAAACAAAATAGTAGGCAAATTAAAGCAGGGTCAATATTTTAGAAATAACACTGTGATTATCAGCAGTTTAGATAAGTAGACCTATCATGGATCTTCTAAATAATAACGTATCATATGAATAATAAACTTTATTTACGAGAGTGTCAAGTCCTTCTTAGTTCAGATGGAATGCTAACGACCAAGTTGCGATGTGACCACTAGTCTAGGTGACTCGACACTGCGTGTACTATATTGGGATAAGATGGTGGTTGGAGTTAGTCAACAGGAAACCCTTAACTCAGGTTTTGTGCTACTACCAGTGATCAATCAATTGTGCAGGTACACCTTGCTGATGAGTGCCAAGTAGCAAGAAACCCGGGTTTAGGGTTTCCTGTTGACTACCTCCAACCACCATCTAAGAACTCATGAAGTTTGCGGTTATGAATCAAGGTTAGGAAAATTTACGAAATATCTAAATTATAGTGTTGACAAGCGTAAAAAACTACATCAAAGTATAATGAGAGAAAAAGAGATATTAAAGAGATTATTGTTCAAGGCATAAAATAACAACAGTTGTTAATCTATTAATCTTTACATGTGAACATGATATTAGTGACCATTTTTCATCATATTTGAAACCCATACATAATAACTCCCTCATAGAAATACTGGACTACTGTATATATACATCACAATTAAGTTTGTGTAAGAAATGAATATAAATGTGCATTATGATCTGGTTTATAAATTGGATACACTCAGTCATATAATTGAACTAATATTTACTAATACACATTCAAACACTAATGTAAAGGAAATTAAAGCCTAATATGGTCACCGTTTAGCATACTTTGATATGTTGTTGATATGATATAGTGTAACAGTAGCAAAAATCATTACATGTGGTGTTAGTAACACGAGTCTGTTTTTCTTATTGCAGGACAACAAAGAGTAAACGCACTGGAAGAAGAGGAACAAGCTCTATGGAAGCAGAACCTGCAGAACGATAGAAAAAAACTATTTTGTAATAAGTTTTTCCTTTTTCTAATATGACCGCGTCTTTCAATTTTAAAATATATCTCTGTTGTGCCAGTACGCCATGTTCTCACTTCAGAGGCAGTTATCAGTTCTGACTGTTGTGTTGTTATTTCAGATTGCTCCCGCTTCCAAATAAAAACTAATACAACGTGCTACAAAAGTTGTTAAATTTTGCTAATTAAACCATGTTTTAACCTGTAGATGTAACTTGTTCTCTGTATAAATAACTTACACAGGCTAGAAAAGTTTGCGAAACTCACCTAACTACTCATCAGGATTATAATAATAAAAATAATAATACATATGTCATATAATAAAAAAAGTAGTTAAAACTAAAAAATATTTAAAATAAGAATGTAATATTTTGACTGGTAAGATTATTTGACAACAAAAACTAGACTATCTAGTTGATAAAGTGTGAAAACTTGTCCAAACAAGCATAAATCTAAGTTTACTTAATATTGTTTACTTGAATCTTTCCATGAATGGTTTTAGGAATGCAATTGATCAGTCTGTTATAAGTATATGTACATACTGTGAGTATTGCCTCGATATTGCCTCAAGTCACAGGCATTATGGGCAAAGATGAATAGTGGTTGGCAGTGGAATCCAGTTTGACGCGCGTTTCGTCCTATTTAGGATTTGTCAGCGTGATAACGCTGTTCTATTTGAAGCAAACGGTAAAATGTTCGGGTTCAAAAATGAACATTAACTCCGAGGTGCAGGTAAATCCAACTGATAGGTCTCAAATAGGACGAAATACGCGTTTCGGATCCAACTGCTAGCCGTTATCCGTCTTCGTTTATAAAGCATTCGTCTAGTTTAGAGTAGTTCAGTTACTTAATGAAATGTAAAGTAAGCTGTATATCTATCATTTGTACTAAACACTAACGGTTGTATTACGAGAGATTGAGTAACGGTTGAAAACCTTTCGTTTATATATATATGTTGCCCTGGTGCACATAACTTCTGAATTAAGAATACAGGTTTCTAGTTCAAAGTTTTGCCGGCAGATAGCCCTTGAAATAATTGGAAGAACTCAATTACTTATTTTGAATATTTTAACACAATGAAAACATTATTTTAATTTGTAATAGCTAGAATCATCCCGTTGTTGACAATTTGAATGAAATGTGATCAGTCTTAGTTGTAATATATGAATGGAGTGCAGATTGTCTTGATAAAGCTATTATTAACAAGGTTCATATAGAACAGGTGGATTGTAGCTAGCAGTGGTATCCAGGACGCGTGTTTCATCCAATTATGGACTCATTGGCTTAATGTCCCTGAACCTTAGAGTTAAGGTTCATTTCAGAAATCAGACCCACTGCGTTCAGTTTCAAACGCTAATGCATTATCCACTTCACAGGAACATCCAGTTGATGAGTTTTAGATAGGATTAAAACCGTATCCTGCATTTCAACGCTAGTAAAATTCCATCTACTCTATATACCACGAATATGTCATAACAGAGTAACATTAGTTCGCTTGTTCCGAACACTCATCTAGCTACTTACAATCTAAAATAGTAGTGTTAATTACTTTAAAAAACTGGAGATCGGTAAAGAATTTTATATATGGAAGAACCTGAATTGATTACTTCCTCAATTTTCACTCCAAAATATGATGAACCGTTAACCATATATTTCTTAATAGGCTAATTCTTTTAATACTGCCACAAATTCATTTGTGAATATTCAGAAGATAGAATACCATTTTGCTTTGGGAGAACGTATAGATGTACATATATGTTTATATATGAATGTGTATTTTCTATGTGCAAATCAGTATGCGAATGAAGTTATTGATTATCTGTGTGTACAATCAATCATGGAAATCAGGATACGGACAATATTCAGTGAAGCTAACATATTCGTATTTGAAGAACACATATAAGCGAACAATTGTATTCAATTAGATCGTCATCAGGCTTTACTCTAATATACATGAATATTTATACGAGTCTATTTATCCACGTTTAACCTTCTATTTCCAACGTTTAACCACTGATAAGACTTTTGTTATCATATTTTATTATTCTTATTACTATCAGTACACCTGTGTTCCTACTATCAACTTGTACTTTTACCTATTGTGTGTGGTGACTTATTCCATTTCATTGGGATTATTGACCTAAATTACCTTGATTGGCTTAACATTTTCGTATAAATATTCATGTATATTAGAGTAAAGCTTGATGATGATCTAATTGAATACAATTGTTCGCTTTCTCATTTTCACAATGGGAATCTTTAATATTGATATTTGTAATGGATCGAATATCTTGATTATAATAAATAGATAATCAAAATATAATAGACTTTTCTTGACCATTTTGTGTATTCTGGTTAAGAAAGGCTTTGTACAAACTTCAGAAACCATTTCATAAATTGCAAACATACTTCACAATTTCTGGATCTTCTAAGTAAAAAAATAATTTTATTTAAGATGGTTCCTGAACTTTATAGGATCTTCCACTTTTTAGATCGTAGTATTGACTTATAAAACTCAGATACTTATTCGTTGATAGAATTTTTTGTTTGTTTGACTCTATCCTATAACAAGAAAAGCTTTCGTATGATGGGCTAAAAAGATCTCATATCATAACTCTATCTGCGTACACACATTGTGCACAGAAGACGAGAGTGAGTAAGCATTAACCATAGTTAATAAGTATCTGTTTCATAATAGTTATCTATGAGAGTTTAACTATAAATTTGATAGAATAGTAACGAAGAAAATGGAATATCTTACAGTCAAGCAAAATCCTGTTGCTTCTGTCCTAGATTTCAAAGCTTTCCTACTTCAATTTGTAACCGAGATTGTCACTACTCACTGAAATAAACAAAATTATTCCATTGCGTCTGATACTTAGATTATTATTATTATCAGAATGTGTTTTGTGGAGATTTTTAGAAATTTTCACAGATTGAAATCATGAGTCAGTTAAGCTAGACCACCATTGAAAACCTGGAAGCACTGGACGGCCATTTCATCCTAGTATGGGACTC